GCCCTGGCTGATAGCGGTTGGGTCGCAGCTATTAACGGTCTGACGGTGGGTGCTTCAGCTCCAGCTCCGGGAGCGGGGAGCGGCTTCGGCTGCGAGCCCCCCTGCTCACCCTCAGGGGAGGGGATCGTATTTCTCAGTTACGTGCCCACTGGGTCCACCAGCGGCCTCCCGCCTCCCTCCCCTTCCAGCTCCGGCCCCGGCTGCCCCTCCCTCTGCCTAATGGATCGATTTGGTCAGACGCCAAAACTCCACTATCCCTTGAATTTAAAAAACTGTAAACAGCCGGGCCTGTCGGACTCCCGTCCAGCCCCGGGGACCCTGACGGGAGACCCTTTGTTCTTGGGGACCGTCCCCTCCCCCCCCACCTCAACCCCCCGCCATCAGAACGTCTTCAGACCATTTCTGTCTGCTTTGCCCCGGGGTTGGCGTGGACAGTCCTCCCCGTGTCCCACCTGATGTCTCACTGTCTCTCCTCCCCCTCCCCCCCCGCCCCGCCCAGGTGTTGCCCACCAACCCTGAGGAGAGCTGGCAGGTGTACAGCTCCGCCCAGGACAGCGAGGGCAGGTGTATCTGCACAGTGGTCGCCCCCCAGCAGACCATGTGCTCGCGGGACGCCCGTACGAAACAGCTGCGGCAGCTGCTGGAGAAGGTGAGTCCGCGCGGGGCGTGTGCGTGCACCTGTGTGCGTGTGTGTGTGTGTGTGTGTGGGTGTGCGTGTGCCCACACCGCCGCCGCCGAGGCGTGGCCAGTCCGCAGGGTCCGTCCCAGCTCCACGACTCCCTCTTCCCATTGGGAACATTTGTGAATGAATGATGAGCGAGTGAGTAGATGGGGCCTCCCCGGCGGCCCAGGAGGAGATGACAGACCCTCCCCGTCACCGCAGGCTCCACTGAGAAGCCACTGGGCTCCCCACATGCCGCCTCCCCCGGGACGCCTTCACCTGTGGCCTGAGGCTCTGGCCCCGCAGCCAGCGTCCCGGGACCCGGGGTGCAGGCCACACGGGTTTGCCCGCGGGGATTTTCCCTCCTCTGAGTGGT